ACCCAGGTCCTCTGAGGGGGATGCGGGGCGGGGGGGTTTTCGGGGGCGAGGGGGTACAACGTCACGCGGGCGGGGGGTCTTATCAGCAAATAAGCTTATCTTATCAGCTCAGGTTACCTGATAAGGAGCTCATGTTACCTTATATGTTTATAAACAAAAGATAAACATTCCAGCGATATTTATTAAAAGATAAGATAAACATTCCAGCAATATCTATTACAAAAGGGCTGCCGCTGCCGACAATCAGGGGGGGGGGTTGCGTTTCTTCCCCCATACGTTATCTGTATATTTCTAAGAAATATAATTAAATTCTAAGAAGGGCTGCCGCTTGGATCCGAGCGCCGACAATAAGTTCTTTGAAAATCTAAGATAATCAAATTCTAAGAAGGGCTGCCGCTAAATCCATGCTGAGTGCCGACAATCAAGGGGGTTGATACATGATCTATACGTATATTTCTAAGAAATATCAGCGGGTAAAGTTTCAGGGCGAACGTGTCGCCGCTTGCGACCTCGCTGCCTGCAACCTCGCCGCTTGCGACCTCGCTGCCTGCAACCTCGCCGCTTGCGGCCTGTGACATGTTTTTGCATGGGATTGTATATCACCCTCGCGGTACCTCCCCAATAAGCGACGGTTTTTTATTGTTTATCTTAGGAAGAAATACCAGCGCCGATAACCAGCGGCTGCAGGAATTTATAAACAAAACAAGCGTCGAAAATTTACGTCATCTAAATTTTTCTCGTTCGTACGTTGACGAACAAAGGGTTGATCGGGATATATAATGAGGACCGATGCCGCTGCCGGGCCATAGTACCACTGGCGAGCGCACGCTCTCTTCATTCAAGATGTTTCTCTTGCTATCAAGTGCTTCCGATATTCTCAGTTTAAGTGCCGAACAGTTACAATATATTCCGAAGATAGTTTTACTGCAAAAGTGCGGCTATTTCGTAGAGCATTTGTGGGACAAGCTTCCGGAGCATATCAAGACGGATCCGGAGGTTCAGACATATCGTCGCTGCCTCGAACACTACAATCGGCCGTGGATGCGAACGCATATTGACGGTCCAGCACCAATGATCAGGGATTGCAGCGAATGTCAGCGAAAATAGGCTGAGGTTAAAAGTGTGAAAAAGTGCCAAAAATTAAAAATGGAGAACGCGGTAAAAGATCATTCGAGGTGTTTTGAGAATGTTGAGAGATGGTATAGACATCTCGATGAATGCTATTATGATAAAAAAAAAGATGACCCGTTTCATTTTAAACGTGAAGCGGTGACTTCGGTTGTGCAATTCGTAAGAAATCGCGAACTTGGTGTGTAAAAACCGCATACAAGAGATGTTGCTCATTTCCTGGAAATGCACGAAGACATTTTAAGAGTGACTGGTGGGTTATCCAAATGCACCAGATCGTCTAAACGACACAAGCGAGTCGCATGTTATCAGCGTCGCTACAAAAATTGTGCAGAATATTTCACTGTGAACAACCCTTATTTTGCCGACATGGATATGCCTTCACCATCGGTGTCATGCAAAACACAATCATCTGATTATGATTCGGACCAAGAAATAGAGAAGATAGATATGAGAGAACCGTCACCACCACCATCGTCGTCATCGTCATCATCATCAGATTACTACTCGCAGCCTATTTATTTTGCTTGATTAAATAGGTGTACAATATATGCAAAGAGTATAGCAGTGTTTATGAGATAAGTTTTATCACGCGTGAAAGAGAGGATTGTAGTGAATGTGTCGAGACATATTTTCACGAGGTGTAAACAGAACAATAATCAACTGCTGCAGTGGCTGCTCTTTTATGACCGATCATCTTTCTTTCTGAGATAAGTTCGATCGCATGTGAAGCACAAAGGGCTGAACGAGATATATATTGAGGACCTATGCGCTCTCAAATCATCCAGTCCAGGATTTGACAGCACCCTGACCAGTCCGTGAAAAAAGTTTAGTGGCTATACTTATTTACGGAAGTGCGGAAAAAATTCGTTGACTTGTATCATAATTGTGCAAACGTGTGTTGAAAAAAATGGAAAAAGACATTGTGATCGACGTTTCTGATGACGAGATAGAGGTCATCACGATCTCCGACAGCGACAGCGACAGCGACGCCGAGATGTACGACCCTGTGTACGACAGGGAGGCCAATATCGTCCTGGACGATATAGAAGAAATGGAGGTTAATGTACCCATCGTTGAAGAAGACGATGGCGGTGATGAAGAAGAAGAATTGGAAGAACCACTGCACGACGATGGGTACGACAGTGAAAATGATGTTCGCGAGGCGTACCACTCGCGTACGTTAGATGTACAGACCATCGCAACCCTCGACGAAGAAACATGGGTATGCGTTATAACAGCATACGTCTCACCAGGAGGGTCAGTGAGAATCTGCATTCCCTGTTTTATGAGAAACAGGGAAAGATTCGCGGCAACCACACTAATGCACAGGCACGTGACGATGCGGTACAGAGATGTACCGCATCTTTATTGCATCGATTGTTTGGAAAGAGTGTTCGTACTCTTCCTGGCCAACTTGTGCCCAATCTGTCAAGGCTGTAAGTATATATATATATATATGTCAAAATATATATATAAATAGTATAATAATTTATTATATTTCTATGTGCAGATGCCGAGGCACAGTCTGACAGCGATGGTTAACGCGACTCCCTCTCTCGCAGTCGCAGCAGGCCCGCTGGCTCTCTCTCTCGCCGCTACCTCGAGCCGCCGGCTCTCTCTCGCCGCTGAATCCAGGCGTGAATCCCAAGCCGCCGTACCTCTCTCGCCTCCAACGGCCTTTTTTATATATATTTTTATATATTTTTATATATCTTGCATAATTTTATATATCATTTATATGTTTATTTTATATAATTTTTATTTCATATATCTTTTTTATATTTGTATCTTTTTATAATTTTGTAAATTTTATATTATAATAATTACACGTTCACGCACACACACACACACACACACATACAAATGTAAATTTACACATATTTTATAGATTAAAAACTATTATTATCAAATAAGTGTATTTATTTTAGATTAAAATGTCTTCCTTACCTCTTGTTCCCTTTTAAATTATAAGTAAATATAAAGAAATTATTAAAAATTATCTTTAAAAGCTCTCTCTCCTTCGCGTCTTTCTCCTTCACATCTTCTCTTTCGCGTCTTATTTCGCCGTCTCTCTCACTCTCATGCTGTGTCTCTCTCAAAACTCGTATGTCTCTTTTTCTCTCTCGCGTGCGCCTCTCGCGTGCGCCTCTCGCTGTAGCCCGTCTTCTTTCTCTCTCTCACTCTCACGCTGCGTCTTATTTCACCGTCTCTCTCACGCGCTGTCTCTCTCTTTTGCATCTTCTCTCACTGTCTCTCTCGCGCTGCCGCCGCTGCGGCTCGTTTTCTCTCTCGCAAATGCATGGGAGAGCGCGCGCCTCTCCACGTGTCTCTCGCATGGATGCCGGCTCTCTCGAACGCGAGATGTAAACATTCGACACTTGGAATGTTTTTTGAAATAGATATAGTTTTTTGTAAAGATTTTTTAAGTGGGGTACAGCCTGTGGAGAGCGGGGCTGTCTTTGCAATCATAAAGTTTCGAACGGTCATCAACGAAGTGTCGGGACATTGCACCAAAAATGGTAGTGCTTTTTAAGTGCAAAAATATTAATTAATAGTGGAGGAAAAAATATATTAATATTAATATTTTTTTGTAGTTTGCCCTATGTATTATTTGTTGTTGTTGGGTGATCAAGGACCTGGTGTACGATACATTAAGGCAGAGCTCGGCAAGAAATGCACATTTCGCCCGATTTTCAATTGACTCCGCCCAGCGCTCTTCCCTTACCTCGACGTCCCGCGCGCAGCCTACGAGCCGCGCGAGGCTCAGGACCGTGTCACCTCGCGACTCGCGACCGTATCGTGTTACCGGACCTCTCACACATATTTTTAATAACTTTCCACATCACCCAGGGAATACTATATTATCGACGCGTTTTTTTTTAAGTGGTTTCTCCGTTAGGCCTAATCCACTGATGACTGAGACGACCTTTTAATAGCTTTAATTAATTTAAAAGAAGCAGAATTTTAAATATTAAGTGAAATAAAAAATACTCACATTCAGATTCACGACTTTCAGGCTTTTTTACAAGCGACAGCAGGAACGTCGATCTGGATATTGCACGTAGCAAGACGCATAAGACGCGGTAAAGAATTGTCGCTTAAACAAGAACGTTTTTCATTTTTAATAAACTTCATTTTCGAGAAAGAAGTCTCACATAAATATATGGATCCGAACATAGAATAAATTCGGAGTCCGAAATCTCGAAGCTTGGGGTAGGTTGATTTTGATAAAACGTTATAAAATTCTGCACCGGTTTCTTGAACCGTTTTCAGAGAAATATCATTTTGTAGGTCACATAATTCATCCCGTAAATTAATCTGCTGTTCTGCGATTGGCGCTGTAAGAGGATTCTCGAAAAGAATTAATTCTGTTCGAAGTTTTTCGAAGCAGGTGAAACGCGTATCGAATTCTTCTATAACAGAATCTACGAAATGAATATTTTCTTTGAAATTACAGCTACTGCCGTGTTCTTCGAAAAGAATCTGGCAAGAAGGAAAATAATGAAAAATGTTGTTATTTAAATCAGATTTAAATAACTGTAATTTGCTTCGGAAAGAATCAACATGACTAACTAATTGGGAAATATTTTGAGTTGGTTTTTGCAGCTTTAAATTGAGAAGCCTAAGTTGATTAGTCATGTCAGTAATGAAGGCAAGTTCGGAAAGAAATGTTATATTTTCTAAAAGAGATATATATTCCTAAAATTTTGGATTGTTAGCTTAAAATTTAAAAGATTATTCGCACGCATATACGTTGAAAACAATCCGCGGCAGGCGCAGCAGCAACCGTCGCGTGGGCGATCGTCAATTGTTTTCAACGTATATGCATGTTAAAAATCATTTGAGCTCTCTACGTCGTAGTGGGTACATCAGCGGATAGAGTTGCGGACGTTTGCGATTAAAAAAAAGGTATTGTTCTTCTTTTAACAAATCAATCTTAAGGATGGATCACAAAAGATATGTTCAAGAATTTGATCAGTCTTGGGAAGTTAATTATTTCTTCGGTTACATTTCCGATCGAACGGTTTGTTTACTTTGCGGTTTTGAACCTTCGGTAGTAAAAAAATTTGCAATAGAAAGGCATTTCAGAAATCGTCATGCAATCGATTATTCGAATTACTCACATTCAGAAAAGTTAAGTGTTATCGAAGGATTAAAATTAGTTTATCAAGAAGATGCAATACCTTCTTCGAATTCTTCTTCTCAAAAATCCCGATTAGCCTCTTATGCTATTTCTTTGCTTATAGCACAAAATTCAAAACCCTTTACTGAAGGTACTTTCGTGAAAAACTGTATCATCGAAGCAGTGAAAGCTTTCGGTAATTCTTTGAGTCTTAACGAAGCATTGAGTATTCCCCTTAGTGCGAAAACTATTACTTCGAGAATTACTGATATTAGTAATTCTTTAACAGAGAAATTAAAAAATCTTTTAAAGTCCTGTACGTATTTTTCTTTATGCTTGGATGAGAGCACCGATATTCGACATATGAGCCAACTGAGTATTTTTATTCGAATCGTGCAAGACGATTTCTCATATGTCGAGGAGCTGTTAGATTTCGTCTCGTTACATGACACAACAACTGGTCTTGATATTTTTTTAGCAGTTGATGACTCGCTTAAAAAATTTGACATAGACTTCAGTAAATGTTTTTCGGTTACAACCGATGGCGCAAAAGCTATGACAGGTTCGAAGATAGGATTCGCCGGTCAATTAAAGCAGCGAAACATTAACATCCCTATTATTCACTGCATAATTCATCAGGAAGCACTAAGTGGCAAAGTTATTAAACTGTCAACAGCTATGGAGACTGTAACTAAAATCATAAATATAATTAAAGGTGGACAGAACTTCCTTAGTCATCGGAAATTTCAATCATTTCTCCATGAACATAATGCTATCCACACAGATGTCCCACTTCATTGTCCAGTACGTTGGCTTAGTGCTGCAAAATGTTTGGAAATATTTTTTTCAATAAGAAAAGAGATCCTCCTTTTCATTCAAGAAAAAAACAATCAAAAATTTCAGGAATATATATCTCTTTTAGAAAATATAACATTTCTTTCCGAACTTGCCTTCATTACTGACATGACTAATCAACTTAGGCTTCTCAATTTAAAGCTGCAAAAACCAACTCAAAATATTTCCCAATTAGTTAGTCATGTTGATTCTTTCCGAAGCAAATTACAGTTATTTAAATCTGATTTAAATAACAACATTTTTCATTATTTTCCTTCTTGCCAGATTCTTTTCGAAGAACACGGCAGTAGCTGTAATTTCAAAGAAAATATTCATTTCGTAGATTCTGTTATAGAAGAATTCGATACGCGTTTCACCTGCTTCGAAAAACTTCGAACAGAATTAATTCTTTTCGAGAATCCTCTTACAGCGCCAATCGCAGAACAGCAGATTAATTTACGGGATGAATTATGTGACCTACAAAATGATATTTCTCTGAAAACGGTTCAAGAAACCGGTGCAGAATTTTATAACGTTTTATCAAAATCAACCTACCCCAAGCTTCGAGATTTCGGACTCCGAATTTATTCTATGTTCGGATCCACATATTTATGTGAGACTTCTTTCTCGAAAATGAAGTTTATTAAAAATGAAAAACGTTCTTGTTTAAGCAACAATTCTTTACCGCGTCTTATGCGTCTTGCTACGTGCAATATGCAGATCGACGTTCCTGCTGTCGCTTGTAAAAAAGCCTGAAAGTCGTGAATCTGAATGTGAGTATTTTTTATTTCACTTAATATTTAAAATTCTGCTTCTTTTAAATTAATTAAAGCTATTAAAAGGTCGTCTCAGTCATCAGTGGATTAGGCCTAACGGGGAAACCACTTAAAAAAAAACGCGTCGGTAATATAGTACCCCCTGGGTGATGTGGAAAGCTATTAAAAATATGTATGCGAGGTCCGGTAACACGATACGGTCGCGAGTCGCGAGGTGACACGATCCTGAGCCTCGCGCGGCTCGTAGGCTGCGCGCGGGACGTCGAGGTAAGGGAAGAGCGCTGGGCGGAGTCAATTGAAAATCGGGCGAAATGTGCATTTCTTGCCGAGCTCTGCATTAAGGGATGCAGAATGGGAGAATTATTCGGATGATGACTTCGAAGAATGGATAGGGGATGACGAATGGGACGGTAAGAATAAAATTTATAATATTGTATTATATTTTTAAATGAATAATTGTTATGTTTACGTTCCAATAATGGTTCCAGATATGTGTGATTGGGATTGGGACCCATATTTAAGAGACGATGACGGCGATTTATATGATTGGGGTCTGGTGTGGCTGTTCGAGCCAGATCCTGTACCTGTGTATGAAAATTGGGACGGTAAGAATAAAATTTATAATATTGTATTATATATTTAAATTAATAATTGTTATATTTTTAAATTAATAATTGTTATGTTTACAGATAAACCATACGTTCCAATAATGGTTTCAGAGATGTTCGATTGGGACGCATTTTTAAGAGGCGACGACGAGGCCGACCTGCTCGATTGGGGTCTGGTGCAGCTTTTCACTCTACCAGACCCGTACGATGTTAGGCCTCAGCCTACACCGCCGCCACACCGCCGCCGTCACCGCCGCCATAACCGCCGCAATCACCGCCACAATCACCGTCGCAATCACCGTCGCCACCCCAATCGTCCATGATGTAAATTATTTTATTTTTTATTTTTTATTTATATCCTTATTTTTATATTTTTATATTTTTATATTTTTTAATTTTGTATTTTACATATATTATTTTTTATTTTTATATTTACACACACACAGTAGAGAGGGTTTGGAGTCAATAAATACCGCGGAAGTGACGAACCGTGGGGTCCTTATCTCTACTGTAACACATGCACAAGTACACGCACGCACACACACGCACATACACATACACATGAGGTGTAAATCCGACCGGCAACCTCCACGTGGTACACCTTGGGTAACACCAATGCCGGCAGTAATGTAAAAATTATGAATAAAATATATTTATTATACAAAAATATTTATTATTTAAAAAAAATGTTTCCCTCCTTCGATATCCTTATAGAAAAATAAGCGGTAATGTATAAAAAAAATAAGTGTATAAAAAAATAAGTATAAAAATTAATGAATAAAATATATATTTATTCAACAAAAATATTTAATAATTTAAAAAAAATGTTTCCCTCCTTCGCATCTCTCTCTCGCGTCTTAATTCGCCGTCTCTCTCTTGCCGCAGGCCCGAGCCGCCGAATCTTTCTCTCTCGCCGCCACATCCGTTTTCTTTCTCGCGCGCTGTCTCTTTCTTTTCTAGTAGTTGCTCTCTCGCAAAGTATGTAACGGGTGGCACGCAAATAAAGTACACCATGATATACATATAAGTATTTATTTGTCTTATATTTAATACATAATTATATATAAAGTTTTATTACATATTAAAAACTAAAGCCATCAGCTCGCAATCGACAAGTTGGTGCATGTTGAAGGCGTTGCTAGCGCGTATCGCATTTGACAATTCTCTCGCATTCGTTACAGTGGATGCAATATTGGAGAATTGCGTATATTTGATATCGACCGTTGCGATGAGCCTCGTCAATCGATCGAACATTATTTCGATGCATGAATCGAGCTCGAACATACGACGTAACGTCGATTTGATCATCATCATGCGCACGTCCGCTGATTCGAGACTTATGAGCTTGGTGTCGTTTATCTTGTGAAATCGCACTGTTAGCGGCCCGACACTTATGAAATTATACACATCGTTGTTGGGAGAGTCATTGTTCAGATAATTTTGAATAGCGTGACGTTGCTCGTAGAGTCCTTTCCACGTTTCGAGAGATAGTACTAGCTGTTTTCCTCGATGATCTCCTATGGCGATCTCCACGTAACTCGGTGGATCCACTCTGATGCCGATTTCGAGAAATTTGAATTCCGTGGTCGTCAATGCGTATCGTCTTCCTAGTATACGAACCGCACGAGACTCCAGCGAAACGCTGTAAAATTAGGAAAAAGAAATTAAAACTAAATTAGGAAAAAAGAAATTATAACTCGTAAAAAAATATAAAAATAGAAAATAGAAAGTTATACTTACTCGTCGCATTTCTTCTCGCACGTTTCATCACGTCTCGGCATGTAGTAATTCATGCTGCTGCTTTTTTTGGTGCAGAATATTTTTCTCGAGGGTATTAAAAAGTGAACCACCAGTCAGAACAGTCGACGAAAGACTGATCGTATAAAAGTACTAATAATCGAGTAACACTTATTTTTAAAATATTAGAAGAAGGGGTAAATCGAATTCCTAGAAATATATATCTGGAGGGGGAATAAAGAGAAATATTTAAAAGTAGTGGGGATAAAAAATTAAATATTAGGAGAAAGGAATTCTTAGAAATATATATCTGGAAAGGAACAAAGAGAAATATTTAAAATATTAGGAGAAGGGGTAAAACAAATTCTTAGAAATATATATCTGGTGAGGGAGAGAAATAACAAAGAAAATAGTATGTAAACAATATGTTTATTCAAAAAACGGATGATCGTCGGATCCAAGCCTGGATTCTGCGGCCGACCACCAATTAAATAATTTAAATACATTTTGTAACGCGCAATTTTTTACATGTTTATTACACCGTAGAGTATATGTGGGATCTAACTTATTTAATGCAGGTACATCTTCATATATGGCATCCAAGGTCTCAATGGTGAAACCGCTGCTCGCATCGTCCATTATTTCGGCCAGCCATTCTCGCTTTTCGAGTCCTTTTACATACACGAGAAAGGACTCTTCATCGTCTTCTTGCTCATTTATGCCAACGATAGCTGCCGTAATCAAGCGCTGAGCCATGCCGTATGGAACATTTCCATCCTCCCATTGTAAGCTGTGATGATGTTGAGTTAGCCACGAGGCCTGACGCCTTTCCGACTTTATAAGCATGCTCCATGGCACAGGGCATGCGAAGAAATAGTGCGACAGGATATATCCTCTTCTCAGGATTGCCGCTTCCTTTACAATAAATCGTTTATTCAGGATAAATCCTTGCAGATCGACAAACGTTGGTGCAGACATGATCTTTTCGATGTGAGTCAGTCGAGAAGTATTACGATACTCTTCAGACATCTCACATCATCTTGATTATGTATCCTCTTCCCCCTCTTTCACACGCGTATTTGTGTAAACATTTTTTAGGTGATTTTGCGCACAACGTTGGTCAACGGGTTGTACTGGATCACACGATCGTGTATAATGAGGCAGTACGCAGTGGTATTATTAGGCACGTTTTCCTTACACTCAAATTCCAATCTCACATCCACCGTTGCGCTCTTGATCGATTCGTTTTGTCGAGAACAATCGATAATCACAAACGGACCGTTTTGTAAAAACCGTGTGATGGTGAGATTGGGCTCGAGGTATTCGTATCCGTAATAGTTCTTGCAGAAACGTGTGTAGGTGTCGTACAGAATTGACCATCTGTTTTTATCAAAATCCAGATTCATGTCGTCGTACGGATAACTTTCCGAGTTCAGAAAGAGTTTCACGTTGGTTAATTTACAGTCGTCGAATCGACTGATATCCTCGGACATGACATTTTTACGCCCTGTCTGCAGAGCAAAAATTACATATCGCGGCTTCTCCAGTTGAGTCGCGGTCTTAATGGCCCACGAATGCTTGGTCGTACGCTGCAATAGCGGAAATTTGTATAGATCCCACGAGCGGAAACCCATGCTGAGGTAACGTCCGCTTTCCAGAGCGCGCAGCATCGACAGCTTCTTAATCTCGCTCAACAACACGTGTGGCATTCGCCATTGTATCTTGAATATGTTGATCACAGGCTCCAGTGCAGAATTTCCATACAGGCAATTATTGTTGTTGCGCGATCGTATTAAGATCAACTCATGACGCGCATTAATCACTACTCGTTTGTAGTCATCACAAAATCCCAGCAACATGTAGAGCGGTACGCAGAAATTGAAGTGTCCACTCGCAGAAATCGGATCACTCCAGCCAGCGTTACTCATAACCATGCTTCTATCGAATGATATCGTTACATAGTTTTTGAGCAAACTTGTTATTCCTACATTTCTATTGCGATCAATCTCCACACCATCGAGCTCATAGCGAATTTCGTCAAACATGAATGCGACACAATTATTTCCCAGTGTCACATTGGATCCCTCAATTGGATGGTTTATCTTTAGTTCTCCCTCGATATATAAAAAACTCTCGTACGGCAATGTATACAAATCCTGTTGTTGTATGGGTATTCTTATCTCATCGCTGTGTCCAAATGTTGTGTTGGCAAACGGGTTGTATGTGTGAGTCTCAATCTTGACGATGCGATCGTCAAAGACTGGCTCTTCCTCGATGTTGAGAATCTCAGTCATTGTTCAGATGGCACGCACCGCAAATCCCAAAGATTGTAAAAACGCAACGTTTGACGAGGTGAGTCTCTTCTTCGTGGTTGATTTGATATTAGCGAATGATGTTGCTGCTAGCCTGATTGTGTTCTTCGTGTCTTTTTTCAACACGAGCATCCCGTCGCACGAGGTGTTGCTGTCGCCCGCCGTCGTACGTGCAATCTAACTGTTATTTCTTCGCCTCGAAGATCGAGCAATCGTCCCTTCTGGTCGACAACGCGTAACACTAAATCAGTAATGCTCCGTACGAAGACCGGCAGGTAAATGATCTGCGCCGGCGTTTCCGATATCTTATATCCAGGTGGTAC